CCCCAAAACCCCAAAACCCCAAAACCCCAAAACCCCTTCCAACATAAAACATATTGATTAAATTCTTTCACCAATGAAAAATGGTTAAAATTTCCTCTATCTCTAGTACAAATTTCTAAATTTTCCAAGTAAGATGGGTCAAAAGCTGCTGTTTAAGGCTAAAATTAGGATTTCTGGTTGAGATTTTGACTGGGGAAATATAACTTTATTCTTGACACAAATCTCTTGATACTCCAAGGTTTTGCGAATTTCGATACACTATGAGAGATATCCCTTCGATTTCACTATAGAACTCAGAAACTTCTTAAATATTTTAGCATATAAAACCCAACCTGTATTAAATAAATCTAATCCTCTTAAGAAAGCTCTTCTACCATCTTTGTTGAGGAAAATTCCTTGAAAAATACAGTAAGCTTTTATTGGGAGACTAAATTTTATTGTGTTCTTCTAAATTAGGAAATTAACGTATTATATAAAAATTCTTATGCAAGAGAGGACTGAGAGTACAAAGATGAGATCTGATCTCATTTAAGAAGAAGGTTTGTCAGAGAAGATTAAATCTGAAGCTATTGTATCTTTATCTATCTTTTATCTTAAGCCCTTGTTAATTTAAAGACTTAAGTAAACTAAATAACTCCAATATAAACCTCTTCTCTTCTTCTGATCTTTTTTTATCATTTTTATCGATCTCTGATTTCTCCTCATTGCTTATGATAAATTTTAAATTTTCTCTTCATACTTAATTATTTTTTGCTAAATTTTAATCAGATTTTCCTTTGAAAACGATGCTTTAAAATCTAGATATACACTGTGAATCAGCCTTGCTCTAATTCTGTGCCTTTCTGACGGGTTAAACTCAATAGGCATTTATGAGTCTTTCGAAAAATTCTTGAAGCAGAAATAAGATCATTAAAATGTCGAGAATTCATTCGTAACCAATGAAAACCTCTTAAATAATGGATATCTGGATATTAAAATACAAATTTTCTTGTATAAGTTAGGTAAAATTTATTACATAGAAGGATTATTCTTTTTCTTTGAAATAAGACTCGACTTATTGGGAGAAAATCCACTAATTTCTGAAAACTTCAGCTTCTTTGTTAGCTTAGCGTTGAGATTCCGCTTTTTGAACAGTTTGAAGTTCTTAGGTTTTGTTCGAGATTTTATGTCCTTATTCTTCTGAGAAGTTGTGAACAGAGTCTTCTTTGACTCCGGTTTAGAGCTATGGATAATATTCCGGCAATCATACATCGCTAGTGATGTCTTATGGCCGGAATTCATAAGGGAAAATGTAGAGTTCTCAAACCGAGAGATGCTGTTACTAAGTCCTCGGCTAGCTTCAGTGATATCACTTTTCTTTTTAAGATCAAGGGATTTGAAAATATTAGAAGTCATATTCGCCCGATTCGGTAAATCCTTCCTCTTTTTCTTAAAAGAGGTACTCCTTCCAAGCTGGGCATTCATGTTCTTTTTATTCTTAGCGATTCGAGATGTTTCTCGCTTATCACTGAATCATAGTTTCGTCTTTGATTTCCTTCTTGAATGTTTCGAAGTAGATCTTTTGCCTAAGAAAACATTTCTAGTCTTCTCACTTAGCTTTGTATAATTCTTCGAATCACTTAGAAATGACTGAGGAGCCGAATGTCTCACTTTCGAGTCTCTATTAACAGGGGATTTTAATGATATTTTCAGTTTACTAGCTCTCCGACTCCTGATTTGTGAAGGCAACCCAGCCATATTGTACACATTACTTTTTGTCCGACCGTTCAGACGTCCAATATTTCCATGAGGAAGAGTAGGAGGTAGCTGTGTGGACTCAATCCTAACTTTCTTTACTCTCTTTTCTTTTCCAGCCATAGCTTCAAGATTTACTGGAAAGACCTCTGATTTTATTGAGTCAAAGTGGTATTTCTTGTCTTAATCTTAGAAATAGTCTGAATGAATCTATCTCTATCATCGATAGAAATTCTATTAGAGCCCTTATTGGAATGCTTATTTTTAGGGTTTTTAAGCACAATCTTCATTTCACTCTTTCGAAGTTGGTGTTCCCGCCTCTCTGCCTTAGTTATCTCAATTTGTCTTCTTTTCCTGTCCAGTAGCTTCTTCTGAATCCTAAACACCAACGCTCTGCTGGTTTCTGGATCAGTGATGAGTTTGTTCTTGGCCCTCTGGTTGAGAACATCTGCTGTGAACTTCAACTCAGGGTCTTTTTCTAATTTTTTAAAGTGTTGTCTCAGGGACCATTTTTATACTCTCATTGATCCTGGAGAACAAAGTTGTACTAGTATCCTTTAGCCCTGAATGTAAACTCTTCGTTAGCATTATACTAGAATTCTGCAGGAACGAGTCTAAAATCCTAGATAATTTCATCTTATTATACTCCTTCTTGTCGGGGAGGTACTTCTGTAACTTAACTTCTTCAATAAATTTGGGATCAAAAAGCTTCTCTTCAGACATTATAGAGTTCATCATCCTTGCATGCTCTTCCTCAGTAGGTCTTTTCTTTGCTTTCTGGAATAGGAGATACCGATGCTTCTCCTCCGCAGCCTTCTGCTTCTTCGCTATATTATTTGAATAAGTGCTTATTCTCTGGCAAAATTGCATAATTTGGAATTGCACTAGAATATGATTCATAGAATCGGATTATTCTTGGAAGCTTCTGCTGCGACTCCTTCATTGAATATGGGCGTTTAAAGAATTCTGTTAAATCGTCCATGATCAGGTAATCTTTAAAAATTGAAACTATCCTGACACTCTCGTTATACATTATATCATGCACAATTTTTGCGTTATAAAATTCAGTAGTGGTGGTATACTTTTCCCTTAATGTATCGTTGATTCTCGAGTGAGGACTAATAACCTTAAAACTTCCAGTATCCTCTGTAGTCCTGGATTGGTAAATATTCAAGGACCCCTTTGTCTTAGTATTCAAATTCTTTAATCCTAAGTGATGAATTTTAAGCTCTGGATTAGAATCTTCTAAGTTATCAATGAAATGTTCAGACATCTCTAACCTTTGTCAAATAAAAACTATAATAATAGCTTAATTATTATCGTATTAAGGCCTGAAGGGGTTTTGGGGTTTTGGGGTTTTGGGGTTTTGGGG